TAGATGAGCGTCAATAAGGACATTTTTATTTATTTTTTATTCCATTTCCATGCAAATGTTAGCAAATATATAGAGTGGGCAAGTACTTTTACAATCAAGGTAGAGGACATAATTAAAAAACAGACCGCCGTCATATAGCTGGAATATTGCTGAGTGCGGCTTTAAACAACGAACAAACAAACAAACCAACTCTGGCATTGTATTCATCAGTTGTTTCTAACGTAACTTAAGTGAATGATATTCGTATTTCATGTTAATTGTTTTGGGAAAACGTTATACAAGAAAGAGATTATTACCCCCTCGCGATGCCGTATTATAAATATCATATATAGGGTATAGAAATTCAGTCTCCTTATACTTGTATATAATTGTAACGATATGGGAAACTCACACGGATAATAAACTATTAGCTGAATTATAAAGCTGATTATAAATATCATATATAGGGTATAGAAATTCAGTATCCTTATACTTGTATATAATTGTAACTATATGGGAAACTCACACGGATAATAAACTGAAAACAATGTATTGAAGTAACAAAAACTCTACAGGGACACTCTAGGATGTATCTTCTACCTAGGATATTGTGTTCTTCGTCGGGATAGGCTTATAGTTAGGTGTACAATGCGTTGGCGTGTCACCACTGACAATGTGTCCCCAGTCCTATACGATGAAACCTCACAGCTGAAAAAGGTATAACGTCGTATGGGATTACCTCAGTCGCTGCGTGGTTCAGTGTGTCTCCACACGCCACAACCATGCTGTGTACATGAGTAAGTGAGTGAGTTGAGTTTAACGCCGCTTTTAACATTATTCCAGTTATATCACGGCGTGTCAGCTTAATGTGGGAGGAAAGCACGAAGTGATACAGGTCTCAGACGTTTACCACTTCGGTGAAACCCACGAGCACGGGTATGGTGCTGACAAACCTAGAAACATGATCGGGGCGAACCCGGATTCGAACCCACAATCATAGGTTTTTGGCATGTCCAAGGGACGCAACTCTGCACAGCGAATCGCGGCGCCTTAGACGACTGGGCCACCCGTGTCCCCTGCTGCAGCTGTGAACTCATAATGACGACGTCGTGTGTGTTCCTGACTCATAAACACGAGTGCAATCCTTACTTTCCATAAGAGTTAATTTCTAGAAACAACCCTTTCGTAAAGTCACACCAAGAATAGGTCTCACGACACAATTTGTTTCAAGTGATTGGTTGCAAAGAGCTTATGAATGAAGGCCGGAAGGAATGCTGTGTTGTAGGATTATTGTGTGATGTACCTAGTAGGCCGAGGATATACATGTAGATCCCTTGTACAGTCCGGGTTACTTGGCTCATTAATAGTTCCGGTATCGTATTGGATTTTGTCTAATACATGGTTATCACTATGAACTGTATGCCATTTAGAAAGTGGTCAAACATGTCATAATTTGGGATAGTACTTTCTTAGTAAAGTACAGATACGACGTTAAATCACCTCTACCTTGATTTAAATGTACTTGCCCACTCTATATATTTGTTAACATGTGCATGGAAATGGGGAACAAAATTGAAAACATCATCTTAAATTCGAACCCATTGGTAGATGTGTCGACTAGGGCGCATGAATGCACACATGTCTTCAAACAAGGAATATAGGTTCTATTGATAAAAAAACCATTAGTGATGTAATTATTAGATTATAAGTATATAATAACGTTATTTTTCCTGTCTTTGAAAGGCATTTAGAAGTGATACACAACAGGAAGATAATATATGGATGTCACTTCTTTATTATGAGGAACACAACGTTACGGAGTATATGCTTCATGTAATGAAGGAGTAACATATACTCCTAAACGTTGTGTTCCTCATATTAAAGAAGTTGACATCCATATATTCTCTTCCTTTTGTTATTTTTCCTATTGAAACTGGGGGCACGGGTGGCCTAGTCGTCTAAGGCGCCGCGATTCACTGTGCAGAGTTGCGTCCCTTGGGCACGCCAGAAACCTATGATTGTGGGTTCGAATCCCGGTTCGCCCCGATTATGTTTCTAGGTTTGTCAGCACCATACCCGTGCTCGTGGGTTTCACCGAAGTGGTAAACGTCTGAGACCTGCATCACTTCGTGCTTTCCTCCCACATTAAGCTGACACGCCGCGATATAACTGGAATATTGTTAAAAGCGGCGTACAACTCACTCACTCACTCACTCACTCACTCCTATTGAAACTATCTTACGATCAAAACATCCTTTGAGATAAATAGTGTAACAGTTCGCCTGGTGTATCCCCAGAACGATTCAAGGGCAACAAAACTAGCATACAAACCCGTCAGTGACAACCTAAAATGAGCGAACACAAAAGAATGAACGTACTATATTTACACAGCACACTGTGATAAACGAGCGCATTGGACCATAGGACCTCGTATCGAGTGACACAAGCGATGCATTAACCTACATACACAGTTCTGGGACAAGGGCATATGCCACACTGTAACGATCCCCGTGCACTGAAGACCATTACTGCAAGTTTGACTTTATTGGACGTTGGAAAACTTATCCAACACAGTAGATATGTTATTGTATTTTATTCTACATATCAGTTGTGCAGAGTTGCGTCCCTTAGGAGTGCAGAGACCTATGCCCATAGGTTTGTCAGTTTCTAGGTTTATCCGATCTTGGGTTTCACCAAGGTGGTAAAACCTGCATCATTGTGATACTGCTCAGAGCGGCGCTAGAAACCAACCCAAGAATGTCTGTTTGATCATATATATACCATTTATATCTGGATGCAAACTAGGTGCAGAAAGATAATTCAGTTGTGATAGATGATCACAGTACAAATGCAAGATCCCTTTACGACTAGCGTACACTTTCTCCTTACTCGTGTTTGCGGCTGAGGTTAGAGTCGTGAAAACGGATAGGTGCACCCTTAAAACTCGCTGTGATTATATAGAATTTGTATAACCAAATCTTGGTAGCAGCAATACCATCCTCGGTTCCCATAACATAGAGCCTTTACGTTGACATTGATTGTACTCATTGTACTCAATTGGATTATGCCATAGATCGTGTCAGCCTATTCAAACTCAACAGTATAATTCCAAAAAAGTTATAAATGGCAAGTAATAAATGAAATACTAAACTCGCTCCCGTGTAAAACCAATTTTATGAAACTCGAGAATAGTTGTGGTATTTGACAAGCGAAAGCGAGTCAGATACCAGAACTATTCACTCGTTTCATAAAATTGGTATTACACGGGAGCTCGTTTAGTATTCTATATCTACTCGATGTGAATGGTAAAACTGTTCTCATTCAAGTACCTATATACATGTACAAGAGAATGTTTATACCACCTTTAGAGTAGTGCCTCACCTCAATTAATATTTAATAATAATATCAATACGACAAGCAAATGTGAAACGTTTTGTACCTCATTAGCATTCCGTGAAGCACACAGGTCAAATATTGCTCAGCTTAAACAGTAATGCCAAATCACGGTTTACCTCACTGACCTTATTCCCTCAGGCGCGCCTTGTGGGGTTCCCGGGTAAGCATTGGTCCCCATTGGAACCTATGCTTGTCGAAAGAGCCAACTTAATGGATCGGGTGGTCAGGGTGGGGGACTTGCCTGATTCCTTGTCATTGTACCCCGAATACGTGAGTCATTGCTCACAATATCAGTCACTGTATCTTCTGGCCCAGACCGCTGTCATACAACTTGAATATTGTTGAGTGCGGCGTTAAACAATCAACAACTTAACAGTGAGGCCCGCAACATATGTACTCATAATCTCATCCGTTCCTAATCAGGCGTCTGTCATCTGCATGTATTGTTCCCTCAGCAGGAACCACAGGATGCCATTAACTTTGTAGGATTATTCTGTCATATCAAGTAACTTACTTAACCAGTGCGGGTTATCCGCCGAGGATGATTCCATTGGGCGTGAAAGGAAACATACTGGTGTGAAATAATGTGAATGGATAACTGAAAATAGGTGTACCTGTTGACACCGGGTGTTTGCGAAAAGGGTTAGCATGTCGTATCTTGTGGCTGGTAATGTAAACATTAAGCACGTGTGAGTTGACAGAAGCAATAATTAACATATTTACTTTCAACGTTTTACAATTTTGTCATCAATACAACTTCACAACACATATTTAGATATCATCAATTTATTCGATAATAATGGCAACGACATTCAGATATCATCGAATTAAAAAGTCATTTCAATGTCATAGGGATAGGATAAATTTGCTAAATGATCAACGCTTTGGTTTCTTTAGGTTTACATGAATAGAATATTTGACTGATCCTGTCAAATAACTTGTTTGTCTCATCTGCTTTGCCAGGCCACTCGAACCAAGTACCCCTCCACATAGACTAGCTAAGGTGAGTGAGTGAGTGAGTGTGTATGGTTTTACGCCGCTTTTAGCAATATTTCCAGCAATATCACGGCAGGGGACACCAGTAATGTAGTCTAGCTATAAGGACGATATAGAGTTACATGTGGTACACAGGAAGAGATCAATGTGATTCGCGTGAAAATCAATACACGTGAAACATATGAACACAAAGGCTTCATGGCACAGAAATCTAAAATGATTGTCAGAGTGATAATGCTGAATAGCAAAGAAATCTAAAATGATTGTCAGAGTGATAACGTTGGATAGCAAAGAAATCTAAAATGACTGCCAGTGTGATAATGTTGTACAGCAAAGAAATCTAAAATGATTGCCAGTGTGATAATGTTGTACAGCAAAGAAATCTAAAATGAATGCCTGTGTGATTATGTTGTATAGCAAAGAAATCTAAAATGACTGCCAGTGTAATAATGTTGAATAGCAAAGAAATCTAAAATGACTGCCAGTGTGATAATGTTGTACAGCAAAGAAATCTAAAATGACTGCCTGTGTGATTATGTTGTACAGCAAAGAAATCTAAAATGACTGCCAGTGTAATAATGTTGTACAGCAAAGAAATCTAAAATGACAGTCAGAGTGATAATGTTGGATAGCAAAGAAATCTAAAATGATTGCCAGTGTGATAATGTTGTACAGCAAAGAAATCTAAAATGACTGCCTGTGTGATTATGTTGTATAGCAAAGAAATCTAAAATGACTGCCAGTGTAATAATGTTGAATAGCAAAGAAATCTAAAATGACTGCCAGTGTGATTATGTTGTATGGCAAAGAAATCTAAAATGACTGCCAGTGTAATAATGTTGAATAGCAAAGAAATCTAAAATGACTGCCAGTGTGATAATGTTGGATAGCAAAGAAATCTAAAATGACAGTCAGAGTGATAATGTTGGATAGCAAAGAAATATAAAATGACAGTCAGAGTGATAATGTTGGATAGCAAAGAAATCTAAAATGACTGCCAGTGTAATAATGTTGAATAGCAAAGAAATATAAAATGACAGTCAGCGTGATAATGTTGGATAGCAAAGAAATCTAAAATGACTGCCAGTGTAATAATGTTGGATAGCAAAGAAATCTAAAATGACAGTCAGAGTGATAATGTTGGATAGCAAAGAAATATAAATTGACCGCCTGTGCAGTAATGTCCGCAGCTTATATCATCCCCAAAGGTTACTTCCTCTATATAGCATATAGTTGAAGTCTTCACCTGTTGCTTCAATGAATAAGAATGATAAATCCTCAAAAAGGAGGGTTGTAACAAGGCGTTGCGGGCGATAATTAGTTTAACTATTCGAAAAACTGTCTACTTCTGCTTTGCCCAAAGCAATCTTCTCATCACCTGTCAGGAACAGTTGATTAACCTCCTCCAATCGTAGCCCTCGTGTTTCCGGCATGAATATAAAGATGAAAATTGCAGCAAGCAAAGTGCATCCCGCATACAGCCAGAAGATACCTACAAACCAGAAATGTTACCAGAAACAATTTGACAGAACCAGAGTAATGAACGATTGAAAAAACGATCGCCAGTATCATGCCTTTTAATGAATGCAAGCTTAGCTCCTGTGTATACTGACGATGATAGTGGACATTTGCAAATTACTAAAGACATAAGGTTAGAATTTAGTTCGGTATATTAAGTTAAAATAGACATTTGAGATATAGAGAATCTCACCCGAGAGTCTTTTGATATGAAATATATCAACACAAGTTGATAAAAGTGGAAAAATGCCGAGGCTTTTTGCCACTTTTATCAACGAGTGTTGATATATTTCATATCACAAAACACGAGGGTGAGATTTTATTTATCATCCAACATCATTCTTCCAACTTTTTCAGTTTGTAGACAGTAATTAGCAGTGTCTTCAGTGAAAAAGATACTGCTAACAGCTTCAGTAGCAGAGCAATTAGTGATGCCATTTGATTGTGACGTCATGGTAACCAGTGACGTCACAATGGTCTGCAAAGCATGTAATTTCATTGCAGCGATATCTACAGTTATCTACAGTTATCTGTAGATATCGCTTGATCCCATCCGAGCGATATCTCATGTGGGAGCCAGTTTTAGATGATAAACATACAAGTATACAAACACAAACTGTCGTGCAAGAGAAGAACCAGTCCAGGCTATCCGCCCAAAGAGATTCCATTTGGCGTAAAGGACAAAACAGCTGTGAAAATTATAAGAACGAACCACTGAAAATCAGTGATGATGCAAGGAGCTCGCGAAAAGGGCATGCATGGCTTGCCCTACCTATAGCACCCGTGGTATTTATGTTTGTTTTGTTTGTTGTTTAACGCCGCACTCAGAAATTCAAACTACATGACGTCGGTCTGTAAATTATCGAGTCTGGATCAGACAATCCAGTGATTGACATCATGAGCATCGATCTACGCAATTGGGATACGGCGACATGCATCACCAAGTCAGCGAGCCTGACCACCCGATCCCGTTAGTCGCCTCTTACGACGAGTATGGTTTGCAGAAGATCAACTCTAACATGGAACCTTCACGGGACGGCAATATATGTATATGTACACAATTATAACAAAATCTGTATGTATAGATACCATCGAGAAATTTCAATTGAATAATCCCAACAGAGTAAATCACAATTTTTCGTTTGAGGAGAGAGAACCACAGCGGGAATTGATAATGATCATATGATATAATACGTAGAAGAAATATTATATTCCAAAGTGGAAAACTCGATGGATGAAACTGCAGCTAAGTATATTCGTGAAACATGGTGAGATATCTGTGAAACATGGTGAGATATCTGTGAAACATGGTGAGATATCTGTTAAACATGGTGTGATATCTGTGAAACTGGTGTGATATCTGTGAAACATGGTGATATATCTGTTAAACATGGTGTGATATCTGTGAAACATGGTGAGATATCTGTGAAACATGGTGTGATATCTGTGAAACATGGTGAAATATCTGTGAAAAATGGTGTGATATATGTGAAACATGGTGAGATATCTGTGAAACATGGAGTGATATATGTGAAACATGGTGAAATATCTGTGAAACATTATGAGATATCTGTGAAACATGGTGAGATATCTTTGAAACATGGTGTGATATCTGTGAAACATGGTGAGATATCTGTGAAACATGGTGAGATATCTGTGAAATATGGTGTGATATCTGTGAAACATGATGAGATATCTGTGAAACATGGTGATATATCTGTGAAACATGGTGTGATATATGTGAAACATGGTGAGATATCTGTGAAACATGGTGAGATATATGTGAAACATGGTGTGATATCTGTGAAACATGGTGAGATATATGTGAAACATGGTGAAATATCTGGACGACTGTTTTCTTGTTTGGTACCCAACAGTGGAAAAAATAAGCAATTTTCGGAAGATTCTTGATTCGATCCATCGATTTAATTTACCATGGAATGTGAACATAATGAGAATCATATCTGAACGTGAAAGGTATAAAACAAGGAGACCAATTGAAAAAGGATATTCATTACAAGCCAACGCGCCAATACCTACAATTCAATACATGTCATCCGCGGCACACTGAAATTACTATTTCATACTCGATGGCGAGAAGACTGTGTACTATTGTTTCGGATGTGAACACACGAAACCTAAGATAGGAAGAATTAAAGACCAATATACAACTACAGGGATATCCATGGGGAGTGGATGAAGACGCTGTAAGTAAAGCAATGAAAATCCCACGTGAAAGACTAATGAAAACAAAAAAAATCCTTTGTGTGTACCTACAATCCTAATAACTGAAGGGGCGGTCGGGTAGCCTAGTGGTTAAAGCGCTCGCTCGTCACGCTGAACACCCGGGTTCGATTCCCGACATGGGTACAATGTGTGACGCCCATTTCTGGTGTCCCCGCCGTGATATTGCTGGAATATTGCTAAAAGCGGCGTAAAACCATACTCACTCACTAATAACTGTAATTATATTCCCCTTATAAAAGCCAATCTTCCAGACAGCAAATTCGAGATACAGATGAACGTTGTATAAATGTAAGCAAACACATTGATGAATGCGTGTGTGACCATTTGACAGTTTTTTTTCTGTTTTAGAGATTGTTTAACATTTACGAATGGAAAAAGGAAGATGATCATCAGAGAGAGAGGGTAGACATTTGTGACTCAACCAACACTTAGACCAAGTCATGTGTTACCTGACTGGTTTACCTTGTCCTGTCCCATCGCTAGCCCCAATCGCATATACATACGTCATGAAGACATAGTTAACCAGATCTGTATTTTATCGCTGCAGTTCCTGTGGTGTCGTTATTGCAAATGTAATATGTTGCAGGTTGAATTTGAAACTAATCTGTTTTGTATTAATCATGATTTATGTCACTTACATTTCACCATAACTCATAATCATCTAATAACGGCTTGAACAGTCCACCTTAATTTGGGTCTACCAGGTACATCCTGGGCCCTGACCTCTACAGTCCTGGCTGTAGAGGAAGACCACATGACTGTCCTCAAATAAAACGTACATGTACACACACGCACGTCTAATTTGTTATTTTCATAGGTATCTTGAGTGAGAGTTGGGTGAATGCTGAATTGTGATATAATTGCAAGTTTTAATTGTTTTATCTGAACATGCAAAAGTTTTATTTTCAAGTATGAATTATATAATAGATAATTCTATGTATTACTTCTTTTGATATTAAAAGAGCCACATGCCATAGGAAACATGTCAAAGTTAGTCTTGTGCATTTACAATTGCCTGATATGTCATTAAGTGCCATTTCCAAACTTACATGTTGAAATTGACATGTTGTTAATTACTGGTTTAAATAACTACATGGTCTGTGTGATGAGACACACCATGCCGGACCGTCTGGCTGCCACATATAACATCTAATTTGTAATATTCATAGGTCTTTGCGGTGGCACGGGTGGCCCAGTCGTCTAAGGCGCCGCGATTCGCTGTGCAGAGTTGCGTCCCTTGGGCACGCCAGAAACCTATGATCGTGGGTTCGAATCCCGGTTCGCCCCGATTATGTTTCTAGGTTTGTCAGCACCATACCCGTGCTCGTGGGTTTCACCGAAGTGGTAAACGTCCTCCCACTTTAAGCTGACACGCTGCGATTTACCTGGAATACTATTAAAAGCGGCGATAAACCCAACTCACTCACTCACGCATAGGCTTTTACAGCCCAGTGATGATAAGTTTTGTTGTTCCTGCGAACCTGACAATCCCTGACAATACCAACACCAGTATTAAATTATGCCAAGACTGTCTGCCAAGATTCTGCGACAACATTCAGTGGCCATGGACAATGGCGAAACGGTTGGTACCAGGACTGTCAGAAATTCTAGCCTTGAACTCTGTATCTCTATCTACCAAGAATTAGAAAATCGTACCAGATACCCAAAAAAGTCTTTAAAGTATTCTGGAAAAGCCTTTTGGGATCACTTACCATGGGCAGTGATGGCTTCAGCAAGTGACAAGAAAGTCATGGTCACTACTATCTGGGATATCCAGAGAACTGAAGTAGCTATTGAACTGCATGTGCCGCGTGCCCAGAGAGGAAATACTTCAGATATAAAAACAAAGATCACGCCAACACCTGAAATATAAACGAAATACATAATGTAGATATTACAGATAAAAATCTTTATTTGTAAAGTTTTGAATGAATACACACATTTAATCGATATTGAATTAATTTAAATTAGGTCCAGCTGCATTGAAACACTTTGTTGGACAATAAGTGAATGAGTGAGTGAGTATGGTTTTACGCCGCTTCTAGCAATATTCCAGCAATATCACGGCGCGGGAACCCAGAAATTGGCTTCACACATTGTATCTATGTCGGGAATCGAACCCGGGTGTTCGGCGTGACGAGCGAACGCTTTAACCACAAGGCTACCCGACTATCCCTGTTGGACAATAAGCTGATGTAGATACGTTATATGCAAAATTTCGCATCTGATGTCATTATATCCGGTTAAATGGAATTGTACACCTAAAATTACAAAAACATGTGAATGTCTTAGAAATTTATTTTTTTTTACTATCATCTGACCAATCACATGTCATTACCAAGTCACTACAAATAATATCTTGGAGGAGACACATTTTGGTAATGTAATACTGAATGTCCATTTTCTCACCGCTACTAAATACAGCCAAGTATAGGGAGGACCCAATCACTGGAATCCATTTATAGTCACTGGGACAAGCTTGCGTCACCAGGGTAAAGTCTGAACTGTTAAAAGAGCTGGCGGAAGAACATCTCCCTGTTGTAGCACTGCCGTTTACCGACACGGGTACACACGTGGCTCTTGAGAGAACGTCGTAGCAGAAGCCGCATTGTGAAGACTCGATGCATTGCTCACATGTTCTGAATTGATAAGTGATACGGAATTGTAGCTCACCTGGTTTCACGATATTGAAATTACTTCAAAAGCCACAAATACAACTAATTAATTTCCGTTATATATGCTTGAATATATATAATGATACTATGTATCCATCGTTATAATGATTAATCATCTATTAATTCGAATACATATAAACATGTACCATGACATACAGTTACATACAGTTATCATCCATTGTGAGATCTATTGTGTTCGGACCAACCAGCTCATAATAAGGAGATAAACCTGTGTTTTGATGTTGGTTTGGAACTCTTTCATATCTTAGGTGCCAGTCTGTGATGAGGCCTTTCATTCCATTCTCAAGTGGTATCACCCGTAAAGGGGTGAAGGGTAGTTAAAGTGTCACAACTAACAAACATCAGGTTCAGAAAAAACAAATAATGTTTTGTTTATTCACTTTATTCATCACGCAGGAATACCTGATAATTTCAAAGATGTCACGAAAAAGTTCAAACATCTTTGCACACCCGAATAATGGACCGATCTCATGACCTTGGCCTATTCTCGGAAGTAAGTGTTTACCGTTACATTGCACACCCGAATAATGGACCGATCTCATGACCTTGGCCTATTCTCGGAAGTAAGTGTTTACCGTTACATTGCACACGCCAATAATGGACCGATCTCATGACCTTGGCCTATTCTCGGAAGTAAGTGTTTACCGTTACATTGGACACTCGAATAATGGACCGATCTCATGACCTTGGCCTATTCTCGGAAGTAAGTGTTTACCGTTACATTGGACACTCGAATAATGGACCGATCTCAATACCTTGGCCTATTCTCGGAAAGTAAGTGTTTACCGTTACATTGGACACTCGAATAATGGACCGATCTCATGACCTTGGCCTATTCTCGGAAGTAAGTGTTTACCGTTACATTGGACACCCGAATAATGGACCGATCTCATGACCTTGGCCTATTCTCGGAAGTAAGTGTTTACCGTTACATTGCACACCCGAATAATGGACCGATCTCATGACCTTGGCCTAATCTCAGAAGTAAGTGTTTACCGTTACATTGCAACTGGAAATTTGAAAAGATGCAGCCGAAGCATGCTTGGCGGTTTGTGCAAGATTAACTTGATAGTATAACTAAAGCTGACAGTCGTGGACACCTGATTACTGTCACCTTGCATAAAGGAAGAGTAGAGGCGCTTTTGTTCTGAGGAGTCGGTGTTGTACGAATTTAGAGAATGTTGATTTTTGTGCCCTGTGGACTTTGCGATTTCACGCCTTCTACGACAGAAGGGTCACTGTGATGGCTCTTGCACAGTGATTGGTGTCAAATACGATTCTGAGGATATTGTTTTGGTCATTTGTGAAAGCGTGATGTGATCTAGTGTCTTCAAAGTGTACCAAATCGATCCGGATTCACCGTCATGTTTGCGAAGTGTTGAAAGAAAGTTGGATTAGGTTGGATGTAATTTCGAATAATATTTCTGAAATGATGCAACGGAGCATGAGGGTGTACCAGTGGTATAAATGCGTGCTTTCGCCTGATCCCGCACCTCCTCTGGGTGTAGCCTGTGGGTGTTTCATTGTAATGTTTTCCACACCGTCATCTCCTGTTTCAACGGTAAACGAAGGCAGAGATAATTATTTTTGAATTTCACAACCTCGCCGACCAAACCCTAATGTCATGTCAAACCATACTTAACGTTGAAATTGGCCTACTGAATCTACAGACCGACATTCCCTAATTTTGGACATATTCCCATGAGAAATGGTCTCATGATGGGATGTAGTGTGAAGGCCAAATTGTTTTATTTCTCTCAACATGGCGAGAAACACATTTGGGGCTTTACGGAAGACTTGCTAAATAGTTGATTTTCCTTTTAAACGTCGGCGCCCGAATGTTCCGATGTTTCGCCGCTCTCAGACCAACAAATGATCATTTAAATAGAACTGGTCATCTGCAGTACGGACTTCCGCGTAAGTGTGCCTTAGACGTGCATTCAGTTCGTCAACTGGAAGTGATTCAAAGTCTGTGGATTTTCCGTTTTCGCTCAAACATTCTGATTGGGAAGGAATTAATAAGTATCCGGTAGGAGTTGTGATAATATAGTCCTCAGGCGCCGGCCACAAAGCGATCTTAGCGCTACGACTATCGTAAGCCAGTGTTAAAGTATGGGAGTTACGATCACCTCAGCGCTACGACTATCGTAAGCCAGTGTTAAAGTATGGGAGTTACGATCACCTCAGCGCTACGACTATCGTAAGCCAGTGTTAAAGTATGGGAGTTACGATCACCTCAGCGCTAAGATGGCTTTGTGGAACGGGGCCCAGACCGTTAATTGTGCAGATGAATAATTAATTAGATCTATTCATTTGGAGCTTTATTTAGTTTAATTAATGAATTTTAATGACTTTTCTATGCCATGGAAAGGCCTAGAATTTCCTATTTATATTTACTTGTTGATATGTTATCGATATAAGTAGGTATACATTGTTATATATTTCCTTACGTTTAAAGATCGTAACACCCCAATGTGCAGTCCTGGGTGTGTTTTGGCCTCCCTTCCAAGGAAATAGAATCTAGGCTTCCCTCGTCAATTGTTGCAAAGCGGCTTGCCGTTGACGACTTAGTTAGTTGGATGATGGTATCTGTGGGAAATATGTTTCAACTAATTTTCAATCGCAAACAAATTAATGTACTCAAAAGATTACTTTAGTTCATGCAGCGCAATTAACAATGGGACCGTGACTGAATCATTTTTTTCTGAATGAAATGATATTTTTAGGAAAATATTATGTAGGTCCTAAATCGGAAATTGTAAAATAATTTTACAGCTATTATAGTTATGTTGTGCTACCGAGGATTTCAAAACATTACTTTTTTTCCTAAATGTATGGGTTTGTTTGAATTATTATTATTATTATATGTTTATGTGGACTGAGGTGTTTGATGTCGATGTAGGCCTATCATCCGTTAACAGGTCATGATCAGTAGCCATATCCTCAACGAAATCTGATAATAAATTCAATTGAATTTATTTTACAATCAATGGCTTCATCTATATTGCCATGAGATGTAATTAACGTAACAATTTAGTTCTTGCTCATTCTTTAGCAAAGCAGACGATTTTTTATATCCAGCCTTGTTCGACTGAATTTATTTTTCTCTGATTGAGGAGCAATTTGTTTCTAGAATCACCTGATTATGTGATTTGCGCAAGTGATCCGTTGAGTTCATTCATAACTAAATCCATCGTCGAAAAAAGATGTGAAATGTCCGACAACAAATGCGCCGTAATCCATCGTCGTATCGGTAGTTTGTTTGGTGTCCGCCATGTTAATGTGCAAACGTAAATAACCGCATAATACTAGTATATGTATAACAGTGCAGCCGACAATGAGAGACCTGTACAATGTGACTATATTCCTCTGATTGACTTCAGTTAGCCATTGAGAATCAAGTATTTCCTCAAGTCATGGTATAATCTTCATGATATATATATTATGCCCTCTGAACATTGTTTTTCCAACGATTGGGCTCAGAATATTTTTTATCTATGTGCAAAAAAATACTTTCAAAACTCGTGTCGTCACCTATTAATCTCTGGTTGCACTGTTCATATTTTTAATCACTTGAAACAAAAGACAAATTACCTTAAATTACACATGGAAGCTGTTGTAGCGTTATTGATGGTACTCTGAATGTCATCACTAACGACGGGGGAATGAGTCGAGGAGAGGAAGAAGCCAAGTCCGAGAATGACCAAGGAAATTAACAGACCTGTTGACAATGAAAGTCATAAACACCGAAATAGGAGACACATTATTCAAATAGGAGACACATTATTCAAATAGGAGACATATTATTCAAGGACCCGTGAAGATGCAGGGTAGACTAGGTCTTCAGCAACCCATGCTTGCCGTAAGAAGCGACTATGCTTGTCGTAAGAGGCGACTAACGGGATCGGGTGGTCAGGCTCGCTGACTTGGTTGAAGCATGTCATCGATCCCAATTGCGTGGGTCGATGCTCATAATATCAATCACTGGATTGTCTGGTCCAGGCTCGATTATTTACAGACCGCCGTCGTATAGCTGTATTATTGCTGAGTGCGGCGTAAACAATAAACCAACCAAACCAACATTATTCAAGACACATTAACTGATTCAAGATGAAACTGGATATTGCCTTTTTGGCACACAAGAATGGAAATGTAAAATCACGTATAAGTGACGTCACCGCTGTCATTTGACTTTATTTCACATGACTACTATTATATGCAATTTGGATAATGTCACCACAAAACAGATGAGACTTAAGCAGAAATAATCAACAGTCATGAAGATACCGAGAGCCAACATGGACCTACGACGAAGCTACATACATGTTCAATGGAACGTGAACATCATTTACCTATCTGTGAGGTGAGGTGAAATTGGGTTTTACGTCGCGTCCAAGATTATTGCACTTATATAGCGACGTGCATGCACGTGTGTGTGTGTGTGGCTGCTTGTACTAGTCCGGACTGATGCCGATTTATAGTGCTAGCTCACTGAGATACCATGCCGCAGTTTAACATGAAACCCACTCAGACACAGTATACTGACTCCGAGCCGACCAGTCCTTGTTTTAGCCCCTCAATGCCGAGCGCCGAGGGTAACAACAAGTACCATCTTTTAACGTCTTTTGGTATCGAACCCCGGACCTTCCGCTCTCCGGGCGGACCCTCTACCACTAGACCACGGAGGCGGTTACCTATCTGTGAGCCAAGAAACAGAAGTTTGCGTCCCATCCTCTCCACCAAGCACGTGCTGATGAAGGCTGTTGCAGCCTGCAGTGCAGTTGGTATTGCTGTCATCCATATTGCATCTGTGACTGCGAACCCCCCTCTTTTGAGTATAGTTCCCGTGTAGTACCTACAAAAATGGAATTTGCTAGCGAATCGACCTTCCCAAAGACATCTCATTCTTACTTCTTTCTTTGTAAATTCTTATATCTTATGAAAACACACGAATGGCTGCATATTTATTAAAGAAAGAGACAGTGTTTTATTCAATGCAACATTTTGGTCACTTAAATTAAAATCCAAATAGAGTATGTGAGTCCACTTACATAACGGGAGCCGCCCCTGTCACCTGTGTTATCATCGCCAAGACCATGGACAGGAACAGAGCTCTTCGGACTGGAGGCGTTGTTAGTATCCTCCCAATCAAAGAGGAACCATGTTCTGTGTGGAAGTAGTGTTAGACCAACTCAGACCATGACAAACATCAGAAAAGTTGGCGAGCGCTAACAATACACGGATCGACTGTGCTCAACCTCCAACTCATTCGTGACCAACTCGTGTTATTCCGGGACAAGCCGAATAGCGACTCGTGCCCCTCTCATGGCCATTTTTGCGACCGGGTTCCGTCTTAGCGCAAACGGGCATACCTAAAACAATTGTCAACTCGTTGCGTAATGGTTCACATATATTTCCCCATATATTATATATATTTCAGATGCAATTTAAAGCACATCGGGACATGTGGAATTATACAGTATGATTGACCACATTTAACTGTGTCTTGGGTATATTTTTAGATTTAACACATGTGCCGCAATGCCACTGTCAACCTCAGCTGACAAACCTGCCGACTCCGGCTTGTCCGGCCTTTAACCCTGCCCATATTCAAATCCGGATCTGATCCGGGAAAAACCATCAACTGTCACTAACAGCCTGATTACTGGAATACGCCAATAAAATACATATGCTTTCACTATGGAACATGTTTTGCAGGATAGAATGATATAAATAACTATATAACGATATTTCAAACCTTTATCATGTTTCAGTCGTTTCCCTTCCGCAACAGTTCTTCTTATGTCGTTGAGTTCTATTTGGATTTCATCCGGGTTATTTCTCAGTCGCTTGAGGACAGAAACAGCTTCTTCCTCTCTTCCTCTGTCCATATACCACCGAGGAGTCTCCGGGAGGAAGAGACTTCCAACAAAAAGCACAACGCCAAGAGCACAGGGACATGCAAACATCCACCTGGTAGAATAATAAATGAAGTACTGAAATATTTCAAAACAATTGATAAGAGCGACCAAACCTTGAGCATATCAATACTCACCTCCATCCTGCTTCCCCTAGTCCACTGAGAGCGCCTGCCCCGACTGATGACAGAAACACCCCAATTGAAATCAGGACCTGTGTGAGACTACCCAGACGCCCTCTGATGTCCACGGGGGCACATTCCGATATGTACATTGGCACGACGAGGGATATAGTTCCTGTAAAATACCATTAGGAAGCATGTAAGTATTTCGAACGTCACAGAAATATTCGTCGACAGCATGCAACAGAATCCACAACGCTGACTTGAGATTCTATAGATTCTTTTAGGTTGTTACAGAATCGTTCGGTTGAGATAAAATGTTTGTTTGTTGTTTATCGCTGCACTCAGAAATATTCCAGCTATATGACGGCGGTCTGTAAATAATCGAATCTGGAACAGACAATCCACTGATTGACATAATGAACATCGATCAACGCAATTGTTTGTTGTGTAATGCCGCACTCAGCAATATTCCAGCTATATGACGACGGTCTGTAAATAATCGAGTCTGGACCAGACAATCCAGTGATTGACATCATGAGCATCGATCCACGCAGTTGGGATCGATGACATGCATCAACCACGTCAGCGAGCCTGACCACCCGATACCGTTATTCGCCTCTTACGACAAGCATTGTCGGCTTTTACGGCAAGCATGGGTTGCTGAAGACCTATTCTACCCCGGATCGTCAGGGGTCAAGATAAAATGTGATTGCTAATGTGAGCTGGTGGAACTTAAAGTTGTCAAACCTGATGCGATGTGAAAGAAAAGATATATAACAAAGATTTGCACAAATAGGTCCCAGTTATTTTCATCGAATGTAAGCTTGTAAATTGAATGACAGTTAAGATCTACCAGGCAAGTCTCATCAAAACACCACCCGGAGCCGATCACATAATAGTTCCTGTACAGCATTCACATACTGTGGTGAGATGTTAAAACACTTTGCAAGTGTGCAACTGTGCAAATGACCACTATATCTGATTTCTTAGTGTAATGAGAGTGAGTTGGGTTTATCGCCGCTTTTAACAGTATTCCAGTTACATCACGGCGTGTCAGCTTAATGTGGGAGGAAAGCCCGAATTGATGCAGGTCTCAGGCGTTCACCACTTCGGTGAAACTCACAAGCGCGGGTATAGTGCTGACAAACCTAGAAACATAATCTAGGCGAACCGGGATTCGAACCCACAATCATAGGTTTCTGACGTGCCCAAGGGACGCAACTCTACACAGCGAATCGCGGCGCCTTAGACGACTGGGCCACCCATGCCGCCCACCCCCAGTAAAATGATTCAAGCACATGGTAGCATTCCCTCATCGGATTCCTTCGTTAGAAATGTGAGGTTCTCAAGGTGATGTGTCAGACATGTGCAACTAGGAACGTTTTCCACAGTCCATCCTGACTGAACAGCACACCCGGTAAGATATTAATGTTCCCCTCTGATATTTCGAATGATATATTCGCCACTTTTTCCGACATGCCTTCATGTTGTTGACGGAAGTGAGAAAGATAGTATACACATTCACGTTGATAATGCTTGCATTTAACATTCAGTAACTGGTTACCTGCTCCCATTCCAGCCAATAAACGTCCAACAAGAACCACCTCTTTCGTTGGTGCTGCTGCTGATACGATGGCGCCAATACAAGTCAACGTATTTGATCCAATGATCATCCTCTTCCTTCCCAAAAGCTGGACCAGGTAGCCAGCAGGAAGAAGTGCTAATGCACATCCTACTGTGCCGAATGTGGCCATGAGCTGCTGCCACAATGTATCGAGTTGAAACGTGTCAACAAGGAGAAGCATGGCCCCCGAGATGATACCGAGAGTATAGCCTAGAAGAAGAGCCAGAACAGATGCAAATATTGTTGAGATGTAGACCAGCCATGGATGGCCATCTGTTGACTTCTGTTTGCCCTCAATGGCCATTGTGTCTTTCCTGATGTCCTATGAAACCTAAAAGAAAGACAAGCGAGTTATGGTAAAGAAATATTGGTTTGGTACACAAATTTAACTCCAGACAATAGAGACGGTGGGAAAGCCTAGTGGTTAAAATGTTCGCTCGTCGCTTTAAAAGGCCCGGGTTCGATTCCCAACATGGGGTTAATGTGAGAAGCCCATTTCGCCCAACCTACTACAAGAATTACGATGTAACACGAACAAATATTGAAAGAAAGTAATTGAATGAATGCTATTTAATAAAAATAACAACAGTCAGGCTGTTCGCTTATTGCCGGTGATGTGTAATTTCGGGGTGGGGTGGGGTGGGCTGTAATTTCGTTTATCTGCCATTTCGTTGAATGCAGTTATAAGCATTTGTACTTTTTTACGCAACCACGTGCCCGCCGTGTGTTGACAGTGTGTCATGCCTTGCATTGCTTGTACGACGATGCAAATGCCAAACTGCTAGTAAATAAATACAATAAGAATAAAGTGTACGTGTTTCTTACCTTAAACCAAGAAGGAGAAAGATGTAGGTTCCCAGGGTCTTATTCAAGCAAGTGTGCCTGAAATTGAACACCCAGGAGTTATATACCCTCAACTCTGTTCGTATAGCATTAACAATATCTCTGATATATGGTATCCGCCATATGCTGATAATGTTGACTGCACGAAGTAGGTTGTAAGGAAATATTCTCAGTATTGCTTGACCACAGGGGCTTGTAACGCATAAATTAGCAGCTACAAGATCTATGGTCACAGCCAGTGTCAGTAGTGTAAACTCTCAAGCCAATACATTTTAGAGGTAGCTTCCGTTGTAAATGTGCTGCTCGCCTCCAGATAGAAAAATTCGTCACGAAAATCTACATTGACCAAACTTGATGTTACGTGTATCCGCCATTACTAAGCAGATGACACATACAGTAATTGGGCAATTAGTGTTTGTCAAAAATACGTTATTCTCTTGTTGTGTACATCATAATTAAAATACATTAAGCAACAAAACCATTTCCATAGCAAATAGAAATTTCTCAAGAAAGCAGAGTCGATCGTACCGTTCCGACTATATCATGAGCATGTGTTTATGAATCACTATAAAATAATGATGATACTGGGTGTTCGCTCAAAAGTGAGCGTACCTGACCCACCGGTGGCACCAGTCACAAACACATGCGAAGGCAAGTCAATTGTTCACCTGAAAAAAAGCACGGAACCATATGGCACAAGTCAAAATAGGGAATTGCATCTGACATCATTTTTGTCACTGACGCGTCAGATTTGGAAATGTCCTCTACATGTCTGCCATTAACGTTTTTGAAAGCTTTACTGAGGCCTTGAATTTTGTAACCTTGATACCTTGTAACAACTTCTGAGCAAGAGTCGTATGACGCTCTTTGACATCTTCGTAGAAAGTATTTCAAAAGTTGTGAAATGTACACACTAAAGGCTGGAATATTGCTCGACATGAAGGGAAAGTTGACGATTGGAAAGTTGAAGTGATGCCTCTTGTCATACAGTCCTCTCGAGAGTGTTTTGTTACTCTGAATCTTTATGCATAGATCAATATATGAAACAGATGAGGCGGTCTCACTGGTCTTCTTTATTTCTAGTTCAGGAGGGTAAATCAGAGGAAGGGAACTGGCTATTTGATTGTTATTGAACGACATCAGACCATCGATATACCTGAAGCTTAAGTTAAACTTCTTGGCCAAATTACCTTGTTTTGACTTTGCCAATCCGAGCCGAAATTCCGATTCATATGTATAAAGAAACAGATCCGCAAGAAGGGGAGCACAATTGGTGCCCATGGCACATAAACTTCAGATGGCATTTACTTTTTTTGATAAATTGTCCCGATCCTCTGACTATTGATACGTAACTGTATCTGTGGTCACAACATTTTTTAACAAAGGCCCTATGGATCAGGGAATGAAGTTATTCCTTGGGTTTGTCATGTGTGATGGTGATGTAAAAAAGTCAAAACATCAAATGGTTTCACAGAGTGGAGCCTTGATCTTTTTTGAGATTTCAAAATGTCAAGTAAACCGTATACGATCGAATCAGTACTTGTGACATAGAAAATATAAAAAAAACATATTAATTAACATGAGTGGTATATAAAAAATTTCATTAAAATGTTAATCTACAAAAACAGCAGTTGACAACATAATGTTCTCTAGAACATTTGTGGTGGTGTTGAAGCGAGAGTATATTGTGTACAGTTTGTTTTCAACAACCAATACAGTTCGTTAATATTAATCATTCTGTAAAAGTTAATGTTCAGTTTGCAAAAATTTTCAATGATCTTTTAACAATAATTTACACTGCCATATAACAATGATCCTCTGTTGGAGTCTTGGGGATGGGTTCATCTCACCTCTGTACCATATATCAGGAGCTTTGTCTATAGCACTCGGTTGTCTGAACCACCGTGTTGTCTATACCACTGGGTTGTCTATACCACGGGGTTGCCTATACCACTGGGTTGTCTATACTACGGGGTTGTCTATACCGCTGTGTTGTCTATACCACTGGGTTGTCTATACCACTGTGTTGTCTTTTCCACTATGTTGTCTTTTCCACTATGTTGTCTATACCGCTATGTTGTCTATACCACTGGGTTGTCTGAACCACTGTATTGTCTGTACCACTGTGTTGTCAAAACCACTATGTTGTCTTTTCCACTATGTTGCCTATACCACTGTGTCGTCTATACCACTATGCTGTCTATACCACTGTGCTGTCTGTACCAATGTGTTGTCTGTGCCACTGTGTTGTCTGTACCATTGTGTTGTCTGTACAACTGTGTTGTCTATACCACTGGGTTGTCTATACCACTGTGTTGTCTATACCACTGTGTTGTCTGTTTCCACTGTGTTGTCTATACCATTGCGTTGTCTGTACCATTGCGTTGTCTGTACCACTGTGTTGTCTGTACCACTGTGTTGTCTGTACCACTGTGTTGTCTATACCACTGTGTTGTCTGTACCACTGTGTTGTCTATACCACTGCGTTGTCTATACCACTGTGTTGTCTATACCACTGTGTACAATCAAGGTAGAGAGGTTTGTGTAGAGAGTTGTTTCTAGACTACACTGTGTACAATCAAGGTAGAGAGGTTTGTGTAGAGAGTTGTTTCTACACTACACTGTGTATAATCAAGGTAGAGAGGTTTGTGTAGAGAGTTGTTTCTACACTACACTGTGTACAATCAAGGTAGAGAGGTTTGTGTAGAGAGTTGTTTCGACACTACACTGTGTACAATCAAGGCAGAGAGGTTTGTGTAGAGAGTTGTTTCTAGACTACACTGTGTACAATCAAGGTAGAGAGGTTTGTGTAGAGTGTTGTTTCTAGACTACACTGTGTACAATCAAGGTAGAGAGGTTTGTGTAGAGAGTTGTTTCGACACTACACTGTGTACAATCAAGGCAGAGAGGTTTGTGTAGAGAGTTGTTTCTACACTACACTGTGTACAATCAAGGTAGAGAGGTTTGTGTAGAGAGTTGTTTCTAGACTACACTGTGTACAATCAAGGTAGAGAGGTTTGTGTAGAGAGTTGTTTCTAGACTACACTGTGTACAATCAAGGTAGAGAGGTTTGTGTAGAGAGTTGTTTCTACACTACACTGTGTACAATCAAGGTAGAGAGGTTTGTGTAGAGAGTTGTTTCTACACTACACTGTGTACAATCAAGGTAGAGAGGTTTGTGTAGCGAGTTGTTTCTACACTACACTGTGTACAATCAAGGTAGAGAGGTTTGTGAAGAGAGTTGTTTCTACACTACACTGTGTACAATCAAGGTAGAGAGGTTTGTGTAGAGAGTTGTTTCTAGACTACACTGTGTACAATCAAGGTAGAGAGGTTTGTGTAGAGAGTTGTTTCTAGACTACACTGTGTACAATCAAGGTAGAGAGGTTTGTGTAGAGAGTTGTTTCTAGACTACACTGTGTACAATCAAGGTAGAGAGGTTTCTGTAGAGAGTTGTTTCTACACTACACTGTGTACAATCAAGGTAGAGAGGTTTGTGTAGAGAGTTGTTTCTACACTACACTGTGTACAATCAAGGTAGAGAGGTTTGTGTAGCGAGTTGTTTCTACACTACACTGTGTACAATCAAGGTAGAGAGGTTTGTGTAGAGAGTTGTTTCTACACTACACTGTGTACAATCAAGGTAGAGAGGTTTGTGTAGAGAGTTGTTTCTAGACTACACTGTGTACAATCAAGGTAGAGAGGTTTGTGTAGAGAGTTGTTTCTAGACAACATTGTGTACAATCAAGGTAGTGGGGTTTGTGTAGAGAGTTGTTTCTAGACTACACTGTGTACAATCAAGGTAGAGAGGTTTGTGTAGAGAGTTGTTTCTAGACTACACTGTGTACAATCAAGGTAGAGAAGTTTGTGTAGAGAGTTGTTTCTAGACTACACTGTGTACAATCAAGGTAGAGAGGTTTGTGTAGAGAGTTGTTTCTAGACTACACTGTGTACAATCAAGGTAGAGAGGTTTGTGTAGCGAGTTGTTTCTACACTACACTGTGTACAATCAAGGTAGAAAGGTTTGTGTAGAGAGTTGTTTCTACACTACACTGTGTACAATCAAGGTAGAGAGGTTTGTGTAGAGAGTTTTTTCGAGACTACACTGTGTACAATCAAGGTAGAGAGGTTTGTGTAGAGAGTTGTTTCTACACTACACTGTGTACAATCAAGGTAGAAAGGTTTGTGTAGAGAGTTGTTTCTACACTACACTGTGTACAATCAAGGTAGAGAGGTTTGTGTAGAGAGTTTTTTCGAGACTACACTGTGTACAATCAAGGTAGAGGGGTTTCTGTAGAGAGTTGTTTCTACACTACACTGTGTACAATCAAGGTAGAGAGGTTGTTTTAGAGAGTTGTTTCTACACTACACTGTGTACAATCAAGGTATAGAGGTTTGTGTAGAGAGTTGTTTCTACACAACACTGTGTACAATCAAGGTAGAGAGGTTTGTGTAGAGAGTTGTTTCTACACTACACTGTGTACAATCAAGGTAGAGAGGTTTGTGTAGCGGGTTGTTTCTACACTACACTGTGTACAATCAAGGGATAGAGGTTTGTGTAGAGAGTTGTTTCTACACAACACTGTGTACAATCAAGGTAGAGAGGTTTGTGTAGAGAGTTGTTTTTAGACTAAACATTCGACTATCTATACCCTTTACTGCTTTCTGTAGAACAGAAGCTACGGAACTGACCGCTTATAAAATAGCAGCAGAGATACCATCATCATTATTCCAAATCTCAAAATTCCCAAATTCTATATAAGCAACCCCTAAAGCCCCCTCTTGGGTTGCACACACCACTTTCGCCCCTTTCGGAAACACATTAAATGGCCTGGCCGGGCCCGTGTGCGAAATACGCATCAGTCGGAAAGCGCACGTTAAATCTCCAAAGTAAGTAAGTAAGTAACCATCATCAACTTGGCTGTCATCCCTCATCGGACGTCCCCGTCTTGCCATCCATGGCAGTAGGCTAGCTTTCACTGTTTACGTCTTGTGATTTCTTCTTTTCACCACTTTCATGACTTTCACTGCTCAGATTCCGGATGTGTCTTATACTTTCACCGTATGGGAATGGATCCCGGATCTTCCATTGTACCAACGGACGTTACCTGCAAGGCCACCCGTACCCTGCTTATCGCTGTACTGTGTTCATTTTGACACTGCCACCTGTAGGTGCGTCGCTCTGCCTTTGTTTGGAAAGACAGCACACGTTTGCATTAACAGCCCAAAGTTCATTCAACATTGAGGTCGTTTCACTTGTACATCTCAGCGACATGGTCATTGGAGCGGATACAAACATACATTTAAGTGCCTACAGAGGTCTTCAGAGACAACAAGGTAGTCGAAATAGGATTCTCTATTGTTGAGAATAAGCTGTAATCATCTTTTGTCTGTCAGTCTGTCTGTCAGTCAGTCTCTCTCCATGTCTCTCCGTCTGTCTCTCTCTCTATGCCATCTCTCTCTTTCTCTATCTCTCCCTCTGTCTCCTCCCCTCTCTCCTGTCTCTCTCTGATCTCTCTCTCTCTCTCCCTCTGTCAGTCTCTCTCCGTGTCTCTATCTCACCATCTCTCTCTATCAATCTCTCTCCAATGTCTCCCCTTTCTCTCTCCCTCTGTCTGTCTCTATATACGTATCTATCTATCTCTCTATCAATCTCTCTCTCCCAATATTTGCATAAAGAATTAAACTTTAGTTCTTCAGGGACAAGGTTATCGAAATAGGATCCTGTATTGTTTAAAATAAGATGTATTCATCTTCTGTCTGTCTGTCAATCTCTCTGTCTCTGCCTATCTGTCTCTCCCCACCTCTCTCTCTCATATATCTCTCCCTCTCTCTCCCTCTCCATCGCTCTCTCCCTCCCTATCTCTCTCCCTGTCTCTTCCTCTCCCTCCCTCTCTCTCTCCCTGTCTCTCCCTCCCTCCCTCTCTCTCTCCCTGTCTCTCCCTCTCCCCTCCCTCTCTCTCACTCCCCCCTCCCTCCCCCCTCTCTCTCTCCGTGTCTCTCCCTCTCCGTGTCTCTCTCCCTCCCTCTCTCTCCCTCTCCCTCTCCCTCTCCCCCCCCCCCCCCCCCTCTCTCAGTGTCTCTCTATATATATTAGCACAAAGAATTAAACTACCTTAAACGACAAGCTAATTGAAGTAGGATCTTGTGTAGTTTACAATAAACTGTAATAAATAGCATGGTTATAAAGGACCATTTAGATAATAAACGATTATATGGAGGTGCTAACCGTATGGTTATATCCTAGTAAAAAAGTAACGATAAGAGAATTGGACGCAAATAGTATTTTTATGGATATATATGCATACATAATCGCATGAGGAGTTATCAATCATGTGCTGAGGTGAGGAGAAATGGGGTTTAACGTCGCTTCGAAGATTATTGCACTCGTATAGCGACGTGCATGCACGTGTGTGTGTGTGTGGCTGTTTGTACTTGTACTTGTACTTGTATTTGTATTTGTAGTGCTAGCCCACTATGACACCATGCTGCAGTTTAACATAAATACCCCACTCAGACACAGACACTGAGCCGACCAGTCCTTGTTTTAGCCTCAGTCCTTAGTGGCGAGCGCCAGACAGGGTAGCAACAAGTGCTATTTTTAAACGTCTTTTGGAATCACAGGCCCGGGGATCGAACCCCGAACCTTTCACTCTCCGGGCGGACGCTCTATCACCAGACCACGGAGGCGATCTGTCAATCATGTATACCCAATGGATCACAGTACATTAAATGATCAAAATCAGTACTCACTTCTCACATGAACATCCCGCCACCGTTCTGACACAATGTTAGTGCGGGCGGACTTGGGTCGGCAACCACTTCTTGTATTGTGCAGGGCAGACAAGGTCACGTGATCAATGCAACACGTCTTCTTTCAAGTTTAAGTTGCTTACTTTTTATGAGGTTAAATGTATCATGCTTTCAAATTGTGAGGGGTCGGATGAATGAACTCTCTATGTTGAAAATTACATAGGTGTACCCGTGTGTGTCCCATCTCCTGGCCTGGTTTAATAATATCCATTTATTCGCTCGCTTCATATACATCATCCCGCTATATTAAGAAATTCCTTTTTCATGAAAAAATCCCAGTAGTATTTTAAAGGAAGTATATTTTAAGAATTAAGGTATCTTTATTTCATCTTTTAAGCAACATTTGCACTATTTATATTGCAGAGTAACGATGAGTTCACAAGCATGTTTGGAAAATGTTTCATAAATTCTAATTATTTTCAACTCTTGAAGTCATTTTTTTTCATTTTTTATTTTTCACGCTCCTTCAGACGGTGAACATAGAGATGAGAGTGTGGGTACCAATGCCTTTTGTTTCTTTCTTGTTTAACGCCAAACTCAGCATTACTCAAGCTATATGACAGCAGTCTGTAAATAATCGAGTCTGGGCCAGACAATCCAGTTACTGATATCATGAGCATCGATCTACGCTATTGGGATACGATGACATGCATCAACCAAGTCAGCGAGTCTGACCACCTGATCCCGTAAGTCACCTTTTACGAGAAGGATAGTCGCCTCTTACGGCAAGCATGGGTTGCTGAAGACCTATTCTACCCTGGATCTTCACGGGGCGTGTGTGTGGCAGTGGGGTGGACAAACGTATCTCACAATACAGGTTTGAATTGGTTTGTTTCAATATCGATAAAGTGTGTCGTATCTGTGTTTTGGGGTTAACTGAACCCTACGACAGTTGTGGGGCACGGGTGGCCCAGTCGTCAAAGGCGCCGCGATTCGTTGTGCAGAGTTGCGTCCCTTAGGCACGCCAGAAACCTATGATTGTGGGTTCGAATCCCGGTTTGCCCCGATTATGTTTCTAGGTTTGTCAGCACCATACCCGTGCTCGTGGGTTTCACCAAAGTGGTAAACGTCTGGATCACTTCGGGCTTTCCTCCCACATTAAGCTGACACGCCGTGATATAACTGGAAGACTGTTAAAAGCGGCGTTAAACCCAACTCACCCACTCCGCCCCGTTGTGGGCAAGGGGAGACATGCCTCCACCACTTGCCTGGTCAGCCAACGGTCAAGGAAGTCACGGAGGAACTGGTCTATCGACTCTTGCTCCGTTCTATCGCTCTCAGCATTCATGTAATGGCCCTTGCATTCACCAGGAGTAAACACAAGACATGGGTTATACTCACATACGTTTTAATCGCTCCAGTCCACCAAAGAGAACTTCTACATAACACAGTCTAGACTCGTCACAGACTGGACAAACAGTGATATCGATCTGCCTCAGTCACTGCCAAAACTGCGCATTTCCAACTAGTGCCTAACATTTACCTTTCTTTATCACATGTAACAACGCCTCAATTTTATTACATAAATGTTAGATCAGACCATGAACGCACGTGTGCAGTAATCGAAAAAATACCGAAGCCCACGTGCCAGATTGACCATCTCTCTATAAATGTGCAACTCAACTTCCTGATTCTACAAATGAAAAGTATCTTACCTCATTCATTATTCATTAACTAATCGACGATAATGTGGAAACAATCCTACGATAAATATCAAAATGTTCGGAAACATTCTGATGATAAATGTAAAATGTCCTTTCTCTTTTAATTCCTTCATAGCTAAAAGTTCTGTCACGCACTTTAAATATACTACTCAAAAGAACTTAAGCATCACCCAATTCTTTTCTATTACTATAGTTAATCTCTCATGCCATTACAGATTAACTATAGAAATTTGAAAAAATCTGCTGGTCCTTAACGTCTTTTGATTAGTATACATAATGCAACTACATCATTGCAGTTATCAACGTTTTGATTTGTTACAATTTTGTTACCATTTTCTGACATTTTTTAGACGCATTTTAATCTTATAACAGTGGTTAAATTTATTATGCTTTCACATTGTGAGGGGTCGGATGAATGGGCGGACTTGGGTCCACTACTTGTATTGCGCAGGACAGACAAGGTCACGTGATCAATTCTTTCAAGTTTAAGTTGCTTACTTTTTATGTGGTTAAATTTATCATGCTTTCAAATTGTGAGGGGTCGAATGAATGAACTCTCTATGTTGAAAATTACATAGGTGCACCCGTGTGCGTCCAACCTCCCGCCGGCCTGGTTTAATAATATCCATTTATTCGCTCGCTTCATATACATCATTGCTATGTTAACAAATTCCTTTTTCATAAAAACTTGTTGTATATTAAAGGAAGTATATTTTAAGAAGTAGAGAAACTTTATTTAATCTTTTAAGCAACATTTGCACTACGCATATTGCAGAGTAACGATGAGTTTACAAGCATGTTTGGAAAATGTTTCATAAATTCATAATTATTTGTAAACTCTTGAAGTTATTTTTTTTTTCCTTTTTCATTTTTTCACATTCCTTCGGACGGTGAACATAGAGATGAGAGTACCAATGCCTTTTTTGTTGGTTGTTTTACGCCGTACTCAGCATTATTCCAGCTATATGATGGCGGTCTGTAAATAATCGAGGCTGGACCAGACAATCCAGTAACTGATATCATAAGCATCGATCCACGCTACTGGGATACGGTGACATGCATCAACCAAGTCAGCGAGCCTGACCACCCGATCCCGTTAGTCGCCTTTTACGACAATCATAGCCGCCTTTAACGGCAAGCATGGGTTGCTGAAGACCTATTCTACCCCGGATCTTCACGGGGCGTGTGTGTGCTCACTGCCACACGCACGCACGCACGCACGCACACACACACACATGTCGCCCATCAGCGGCACATGTTCATGAATAACGCACCTTGCCTGACAATAATGCTGATGGGGCCTACCTTGAGCATCCCCGCTTACGTATGAAGCGAATACAGTTGCGTTCTCCACAATAAATATATATCGATCTTTACCAATGTATTTGACTTATTACAACATGTATGTAACATATATAAACCATCAGAGAATAAACAGTCTCGATTATCCCACAAAACAGATTATTTTGGCAAAATAGCAGTGAAAAATATATAATATGAAACATCACACGGATATCATTCACATTAATTGCATTTAACTGTTTTAAATATTTTAACCACCTGGATGAAGAGTTCATCTACAAGAACACATCATTATGTCAATATGAAAGAGCGAGTACAAACAAACGTGTGTATTTTACATTTCCCTTAATTTCTGACGTGCAGTGACATTACCTTGTCATGGGATCAGACACCAGTGTCAGGTAGTCTAGGGCAGGTGGCTTCTAACAAACATAAATTCATTTTTACTATTTTGCCAACATCTCAGAATGGGTATTTTTGTGATGAAGCTTGCTGAGTATCCATCCCAGGTGACCGGAAGAAATGTTACAGAAAAAAAAGTTACAGAAGAAGGTTACAGAAAAAGTAGAAGGTTGGGTAGAAAAGTAACTTACAGAAGAAAAGCTACACACTCAAATTAATTAAGGCATGTTATTGGACACACTATAAGTTGTCAACCGATATAGGTGTACACAGGCTTACGCGCAGGGTACATGACACCATAGGCCCCGAGGGATCGGTTCAAAACGAATTTATCTCACCGACATTCATTCATGCAGGGGGCGGTCGGGTAGCCTGGTGGTTAAAGCGTTCGCTCGTCATGCCGAAGACCGGGTTCGATTCCCGACATGGATACAATGTGTGAAGCCCATTTCTGGTGTCCCCCGCCGTGATATTGCTGGAATATTGCTAAAAGCGGCGTAAAACCATACTCACTCACACTCACTCATTTCAGCTCGGCGATACTTATGCGTGATAAGACAATTACCTAAGGTGTGTTCCGATTGATTACTCAGCGGGCTACATGAGCGGGCTATATCAGCGGGCTTCATGGAAAATAATCGCTTAACCAATCAGAACCAAGTATTTTAATGTAAGATAAACTGGTTTACATACGTATCACAATTCACAATATTTAATTCAAAGTTCAATTTTGCTTGTTGAGACTGATATTCCATCGAACTCCTTGTGAAAACCGCGCTCTCCTCTCCTACCGTTGACGGTATTATTGAAAAGTGTTCGGGCCTGGCCTGTCTTTGTCACATGTCGTAACAGATGATTTTAATTGGTTGAGAACAATATCAGACCATGACCTCGTGTTTGTGTCGTGATCAGCAAATTACCGGAACCTACCAACCGATTAAAGGAGTACTTTGATTAATCGTCGGCAACACCACCGAATCTATCCTGTCACTGTCAACGCAACCATGATTGCCGTAAAAGGCGACTATGCTTGTCGTAAAAGGCGACTATGCTTGTCGTAAAAATCGACTCTGCTTGTCGTAAAAGGCGACTATGCTTGTCGTAAAAGGCGGCTAACGGGATCGGGTGGTCAGGCTCGCTGACTTGGTTGATGCACGGTCATCGATCCCAGTTGCGTGGATCGATGCTCATGATGTCAATCAGTGGATTGTCTGGTCCAGACTCGATTATTTACAGACCGCCATCATATAGCTGGAATATTGCTGAGTGCGGCGTTAAACAACAAACCAACAACAACAACACTGTCATCGCCCTATTGATTTCCTGCTTGTTTGCACCAACACTTCGGCTTTCTGTCTCCATCGTTTTCAAAGCTATAACCATCAATTTAAAGGTTGACTTTGTTATAATCTTCTAAGGTTTTGGGGATGCATTTTTACCTTATAACATCCTCCGCCTGTGGACAAGAGCTGTCCACAGCTCGGACTGAGTTAGCACTAGGCCAGGTCCGATATGCTAATATACAGTCACAATAAACACAATAGAAGTAATACAGGATCAATCATTCCATATCTTAAATTGGAACCAATTTCAAAATTGTATGAATAGCCGAAATACAGCTAATATGCTAACAGTCAAAATGTACTTACATGCAAAAGAATAAGAGAAATTATCCTATGTTACTTCGTATAAAAAGAAAGCATAATCATCACGATGTATTATTCAAATACAATGTGTAATTAATGAGTAGTGATTCATAAATGTCAAATGTCACTGCACATGGCAAAACTATGGCACCGTAATATTGCTTGCCGTAAAAGGCGACTATGCTTGTCGTAAAAGGCGACTAACGGGATCGGGTGGTCAGGCTCGCTGACTTGGTTGATGCATATCATCGCCCCCAATTGCGTGGATCGATGCTCAGGATGTCAATCACTGGATTGTCTGGTCCAGACTTGATTATTGACAGACCGCCGTCATATAGCTGGAATATTGCTGAGTGCGGCGTGAAACAAACAACAAACCAAGCAGATCATGGGTTGCGGGGTGCAAAACAATGACACGATTACCTTTACCTGATGGCTCAATGGGTGTTTTTGTCCATCTGGCGATAGCCACATGTAGTCAGTGGAATGATTCATCAAGGTAAATTACCTGATCGC